AAGGACTTTAAGATGTACTTGAATTTAAGATTTCTCACGAAATCCGTTTTAAAGTCAAATGAGATGGCCGATTGAAATGACTAGTTTTAGAAAAGCTTTTAAAGAGTATTTAAAATAAGAGTTCAAATGCTATTCGATTTGAAGGATATTCCTAAAAGGTTTTATCTTAACTAAAATTAAGAAAAGCTTTAAGAAATTTAGTGATTCACTTATTTGAAATTATTGTTACAAATTATGAAAGTATTCCTTCTTATATAAAAAAAAAAAAAATGTTCCGCATATTTTAAGAAACCCCAGTAAGTACAAGTTAAAAAGTTAGTAACAGTGGCGGCCTCAAAGGAGGGTCGTCACAATTTTTTTATGGAGAGGAATGGGAAAATAATATATATTTTTTGATAAAAAATAAATAACATGAAGTTTGAAGATAAGAAGTAAATAATATAATTTTAATAAATCAAATTTACCATTCTATAAATACTAAAATACCTTAAAATTTCCATAAACAACCTCTAAACTATTAAAATCATAAAATTTATTATTTAAAAATTTAATAGGGTCAAATATAATTCGTCAAAAGTTATAGGGTAATAAGGTTAAGGGACTTTCTTTGGTGTTTTCTCTTTTCTGGGAATATCGGTATTTCATGCATATTAGTCGTCGGATCTGTATTAAATCTTGTCTAAAGTCTAATCAAATTAAAAAAGTAATATAGATCCAACTACTGATAATTAGGGAATACCGGTGTTCTCTAAAAAAAGGGAACGCGAGAGAAATTCCCTAAGTTTAAACCCCTAATTGAAATTCCCTAAGTTTAAACCCCTAATTTTTTTAAAAAAAATTATAATTTGACCCCCTATTTTACATTAAAATTCGACCCCTCATTCTTTGAAAAAAAAAATTCCAATTTGATCCCTCAATTTTTTAAAAATTATAATTTGACCACTCAATTTTTGAAAATTATAATTTGAGCCAAATTTTAAAAATAATTGGCAAAAAAACCCATATTAGTTGGTAAATAATAAATTCACTCATTATTTACCACATAAATTATAACCATTGGCTGGTAAGTAAAGAATTCACATAAACTCAAATGGTAGATCTTTTATTTACGAAAATCACATTTTTTTAGTTTGTATATATAAATATTTTACCGAATAAATTCGTTATTTACCATGTTTTTAGCTGTTACATAAAGAATTTTACTCAATAAATTTGTTATTTACCAAATAAAAATAAAGGACCGCCTTGTATATAAAGGATAACAATAATTGGTAATAAAGGATTTACTCATTAAATTTGTTATTTACCAAACATACTAAATTATTGGCTTGTAAATAAAGGATTGCAAAAATAACTTGGAAATGATGGAGTACCTATACTTAATTGGTAGATCTTTCAGGTTGTAAATAAAGCATTTACCAAGTAAATTCATTATTTACAGTACTTTTAGTTGGTAAATCCTTTATTTACCGAGTAAATTTGTTATTTATTAAATAGACTAAATTTTTGGCTTGTAAATAAAGGATAAAAAAAAACAACTTGCCAGTGATGGATTTACTTGGTAAATTCTTTACTCACTAAGGGTATATATGCGAAGTTTTTTAATGTCATAAAATTCAATTTCTAAAACTTCAAGTGTCAAAATATAAATTTTAAAATTTAGTGGACAAAATAATTTAAAAAAGGGTAATTGTCACATATGGTGCCTAACCTCTTATAGTAGTGACAGTTTGGTCCATATTTTTTTAATTTTAGTAAAACGACCCTCAACATTTTTAAATTGGTGCAGTTAAGACCTTTCCGTCAAGATCCATCCAAATAATATCAGGAGAAGCCACATGACGCCGCACGTGACCTGTTAACTCGGGGTATATGTGTAAAAACACATCCTTGGTCGAATTGGGATGAAAAAAAATGAAATTGGGTTGCTTATTGAGTAATTTCTCTAATAAGTGTAAAAACTCTAGGGTTTTTGAAATTTCTTCAAATTGAGGTTGTAATGGAAGAAACCCCTTTGTGTGGTTGTAAGATTTAGAAACCCACTAGGGTGTTGACTTCTTGGACGGACTTCAGCCTTGGGCGCAGATTTTATAGGTGTCATTTGTATAGGGTAAGCTTTGATTTTAGTTTATTCAGTTGTTTAAAATCTGAAATTTTAGATTTATGTTTGAAATCCCTTTCTTCTCTACTCTTTCCTAGTGTGATGGATGTCATTCTTGTGACTATTTTGTCTGGAAAGACCGACCTTTGTGTAGAAAATCAAAGATGATCATTCCTGAGTTGTTAAGAATGGTTAATGATTAGGAGGCTAACTTGAGAAAATGGAGAATACCCACCATGAGAGAGGAAAATTTTTGGAGAATCAATTGAAGGCAATGCAAAAGTCATTTAATCCTAGAGGGAGTTGGATGTGCAAATGGAAATATTTCTTCATTATTGTAGTGATGGTTCTTGTTTGTAAGATGAAATTCTAAAAAAAAAAGTAGGAATATAATGTCAAAATTGTTTTGAAGTTGGCTGGTCTCTTCTGTGGTATATTGGGCCCTCTATATATGAACATGAAGCATGTTTAGTGTTGAAGAATTTAAATGCTGTGCCATTGAATATTTTACATTTTTTTATTTTGTATTTGACATCTTTTTGTCTGTTTGCAAATGTAAAGTTGCATGTTTATTTATAATGTAGATTTAAGACATCAAATTTTTTAACCTGTATAAATCAACGTAAAAATATAACCTTTTAACAGCAAAAATGTTTCGTCAAAGGAAAAAAAAAACAGAAAGAAATAAAAGTTGTAGATATCATTAATATGCACTTGTGTAACATCGAAAATGGCTGCTAACATTTATACATTTACCATTCCATTCCAACTGTGCTATTTCTTATGCACCTATGTGTTTATGTAGCAAATAAAAGGAAAAAAAATGTGCCTTCTATAGGTGCACTCATCTACTCATAATGCAGCACATCATCAAAATAAGATGACAACACATGCTTAAAATAAGAAAGAGTTGTCCAATGCAGTCTCAATAATTACATCCTTATAAGTAAAAGTCATATATATAGATAAGTTCCTAATTACAGATCATTCACGGCTGATTTGTTGCCCTCCTAGCAACACAAACTTTGAGACGAGGTTGTGGACGAGTTTCAGTCCCTTGTGTTGCACTTAAACCTTCACCATTCTTTACATATATGTGGCAAGTGGTTTTGTTGTGGCCTTGGTCTCCACATGATCTATGTCATCACCATTCCCGTCCTAGTCAGTTTCTTAGGACCTGTTCGGTTTGCTAATTCGAGTTTTTAATTCGAGTTGAGATGTGATGTTGTGTGAGAGCTTTTTACTGTGGCAAAAAAAAAAAAAATTAGATATGACTGTTTCTGAGAGCTTTTTACTGTAGCAAAACTCGAATTCTAAATTCGAATCAGCGAAAAGAACGGAGCCTTAGTGTTAGTACTAGGGACTTGGTATCCTTTTGGCACTTTTGATGATTCCTCATGGGCCTACCATGTTGTTTCTTGAACTTTGGTGCATGGATTAGTTCGTCTTCCTTTTTTTTTTTCCAAAAATTAGGTCTATTAATAGGCCCCACATGGTGTGCATAGATCTGCAAATAACAAGATTTAGATAGGCTCGCATGGACATAGTCATAAATGTTGTGCATTGCATGAGGGCAAGGAATCCCACTTAATGACCATTGTCTACATGCATAAGTTTTTTTTTTTTTTTGTAAATCAACAACAAAGTGGGAGTCATCCGGACACCTAACCTGCAATATACCATGCCAATAATTGGTCATAACAAATTGAAAATGTCTGTGCAACAGTAACTAACGAAGGATTAATGTTGCACCCCAAAAGCAAGATCTCCAGCATAGTCGATCAGTCGACAGTTGATAGATTGTTTCTTGTTTTCCTCGATAATCTTCCAAACGCTCTTGCCAACAGGGTTCTTCCAACTAAGTATGCTTGAACTCTTAGCCTCGATGCGCTTCATGATATACCTCCTAACAGTTTCAAGGAGTGTGATAATATAGGCTTGTCACATGCTTCTAAAATGGCCAAGTTGAAAGACTCACACCAATTATTCAACAAGATATCATAGCTGGTCTCTTCTGTAAAGCAGGCACGGGTCCAAGTTTTGGGAATGAGTTTTGATACCTAAGTCCACGCCTCATTGTTATGAGCTTTCATCTTATTCAATTGCTGCTCAAATATGTGAAAAATCGGTTCTTCAAAAATACTAAGGCATGAACTAAACTGTTGTGGCACGAGTAGCACCCTAAAAAATTTGCTTCAATAGTAGACCCTTATTCAGCCTTGAAGTTGTTGTAGAGATGTCGCACATAGAACTTGTGTGGTGAATCACCAAAAAGCATATGCAAAGCTGGAACTAAACCTTTCTGGCGGTCTGATATCTATGTGACGTTTGTGACATTAATGTCTTGCCGTAAGAGGTCTAGAAACCAATACCATGAGTCATAACACTCTGACTCCAAAACAACAAAAGTTATAAGATATATAGCATTATCAGCATCCGTTCCCATAGCTACTAAAAGCTGCCCTTTATGGTAACCCTTGACAAAACAAGCATCAAGCCCAATAATTGGCTTACAACCGGACATGAAGCCTTTCTTGCAAGCATCCAAGAAAATGTAAATTCTTTGTAACTTGTTGTACCCTTCAATCTCTGAGTTACACTTCAATATCACACTTGATCTAGGATTTTTAGCCCTAATCTCCTCACAATAGTCACGGAGCATGTAGTATTGCTCTCTAACTGACCCTTCAATAATATTCCTAGAAACCTCTCTAGCTCTGTAGAATTGCCATTTTGTGACATCCACATGTACAACATCCACTATAGCATTGTTTAAACCTCGCTACATTCCATTTAGGATTTGCTCTAAATTGGTTCAAAATTTGTTTACCAAGCCATTTCGCAGTGAGATGTTGAGTTGTGTAACTTAAACGACAAGTGTACGAGTCATCATAAGTCCTAACCTTGTATGAAAAACCATCAACAGTAGCGGCAGCATACAAAGTCCAAGGGCAACCATCCTTACACTTTGCCCGGATCCTCTTCTTTTCATTCTTGACCACTTTCATAGCCTTATGATCTTTAACTGCATACTCCTTGATGGCTAGCTTCAAAGATTCACTTGTAGGGAATACCAAATCAACAGGAAACTCGAGGTTATTGTTGAGAATGGTGTCCTAGAAGCATGAGAGGTAATATGATATTTATTATTTATTTAATAAAATAATTTATTCATTATTTTTTGTACATGTATTAATGAATATTTTATGAATATCAGTGAAAATTCCATGATTATTTATGTGACATTAAATATTGTATATAAGTGTTATATGCAAGAGGATAATATTTAAAGATAATAATCAAAACGACGTTCATAATGAACTTAATTAAAGTTCAGAATCTTTAATTAAAACATTACTAATACATGTCATTCTCATTTAGAATGGAACGGTGTTATCCGCACTATTAATATGGCAAGATATTGAACGTGTGTATTACGCATAATGAGATTATGTGGAACAGAGACACAGACACAAATATGAATTTTTGTTAAGTATAGACATTTTAATTAAGTCTACCGATGGTCATATATAGAATGATCTTAATCATGAGTTCTTAGCATACTCCTATTTATGGATTTGTGTCTTTTGATTTACTCGGTACGGATTCTGAGATCCTGAGTCCTATCCCTTCTATTTTGGAGACATGATGAAGTGAGTAGCCGAGAATGTTATTATACTAAATGTAATCCATTCCTTTATGAGAAAAAAGTAGATAAATAATTCTCTTGAGGGTTGATTCGGTACTTGGACTAGTGGGAGCTCCGATTCATGAATTTATTTTATGAATCACTATCCATTAGAGAATCAATGGTACTCAAGGATAAAGATGTAATTAGAGAGGTTAACGGATTTACCTAGCTCTAATTATGAATTATTTATGGATGATTGATCTATATGTAGTGACTATATAAAATGGACACTTCACGGTATAGAAGTAATTTATGTCTATAATTACGAGAGTGCAATTCCAAGTTTATAGTGGAGTACCTATTGGAATTAATTTCATTTGAGCTTGAAATTATAGGTCCATGAGTCCCCGCGTCGTCCTTGTAATTCTACAAGGCACTAAGGGCAAAATGTGAATTTTAGAATTATTGAATTCTAAAATAAAATGTGAATTTAATTGAGAATTAATTATTATTTAAATAATGTGATTATTTAAGTTTAATTTTAATTTTGAATTTTGAAACACACATGTGAAGGTGTTCACATAGTGTGAACGCACAGCATAGTGTGAATCCCTTTGGGATTCAAATTGCTTGCTCCCCATAGTTATCTAATAAACTTATTTGATAAGTTGTTCAATTTAAAATTCAAATCGATTTAAGTTTGACTTAAATTCAAAATTTAAATTTAAGTTAAAAATTAGACTGCATGATAAAATCTTTCCCTAGTCTTTATCCACAAAATTGGATAAGGGATATTGAATTTTGAAACACACATGTGGAGGTGTCCACATGGTGTACACGCCCTATGCAGTGTGAATCCCTCTGAGATTCAGTTGTTTGCTCTCTAAATTATCCAATTGACTTATTTAATAAGTTGTCCAATTGAAATTCAAATTAAATTGAGTTTGACTGAAATTGAAATTTGAATTTGAGTCAAAATTTGACTGCAGGATAAAAACAGAATTTTGCCTTCTTCCCTACCTACTATTTCCGCCTACCACAGGCCTCCATGTAGTAGCCGGCCATATGGGATAAGGAAGAGAGTGGATTTTGTTTCAAAATCAATTAAAAAGTGGGAGATAATTATCAAGCTTAATCTTGGAGATAAAGTTTAGACTTCTTCTGAGAGTCTGACTACTACTCTATAAATAGGAGATTGTAGAAAATTGGAGAACACAATTTTTGCTCTCCCTAGCACACGTGGCCGAATTTTATAGAGTGAGTAAAGGAAAAAAATTTTCTCCAAAATTTCACGTCGTGCACGTGTTGATGTTCGTGGAAAACTTGAGTGTTTATTTGCTAATCCTGTTTTGTTTTAGGTGTGTCCACACACACATATTCATAAATTCAAGGAATTGATAAAAAAAAAGATTAAGGTATTTTAAACAAGCTTAGAGTGAGGAACGTTCGTGGTCAAAGAACTCAAGTTATCGACTTAATTGTTTGCTAGGTAAATAAATTAATTTTATTAATTTATTCGTGGATAAATTAATGTAATCTATAGAGTATCTCAAAGTTTTGTAAAATTTTTTATTATGCACGATTCGCTAGATACACGCTTCCACATTGAAGATCGTTTTAAAAACTAACAATTGGTATCAGAATGGTCCATATACTATATTAATTTATGCTCCGATGATGTGATAATCGAAATTATATTAAATATGTGATATTTAATTTATATGTATGTGATGGAGTCTTTCAATCTAGAGCAGTCGGAACGTGACCAATTCGCCTGAATCTAGCGCCTCCTGAGGTCGTTAGTAACAAGAAAAACAACGTTTAGAGAAATTCGTAGTTAGGAGACCAATTGATATGAGTTCTTATATCCTAATCTATTTAAGGTTTGGATAACAAAAGTGTTTATAGTACTTATATATAAATGGTACTATAATGATGTATGATTAAATGTGTATAAAGGTAGTCAATGGCAACCCAAGGTTACCAATTTGGTATTAATGGAGTTGATGGCCATGAGATGTGAGGTTGTAATGTATGAGATTTGTTGAGTCAAACCTTATCTCTACTGTTTTTTTCTACGATTCTTCAAGTCAAGATATTGAGGCCCCGTTTAGTTCACTGATTCGAGTTGAGATGTGATTTTATGTGAGTGCTTTTTACTGTAGTAAAAAAGTTAGATGTGATTGTTTCTGGGAGCTATTTACTGTAGCAAAACTCGAATTCTAAACTCGAATCAGCGAAATGAACGGGGCCTGAGTTCTTTTACTCTGGAAGGCAGCCGGAGGAAAAACGACAGTGAGTTTGGAATGAAGCAAAACGGTAGCGTTTTTAATAAAGCACTACATCAGAAAGTTGTAGAAGAAACAATTTCTGATTGGCTAATCCCAAACGACTTCTTTACAAGTTGTACAGTTGTATATATTGTATTTTTCTGAGGTTAAAGTGAGTAGCGACAAAACTAGAGAGAGAGAGAGATAATCTTGTAAACGAAAGAGCCTTAGTGAGAGAAAAGGAATTCTAGAGTGAGAAAGGGAAGAGAGAAAAGGCTTTGATTTTCTCAGGGTGTTTCTTGCTGGTTTTTCTCAGGAAAGTGAGGTTCTGTGGTGATTAATTTCTGGTCCATCATCTCTCTGTAATTTGACTTGAAGTATCATTGTTGAATGCAAGTCGAATTCCTCTGGGGAGTTCGCGGAGACATAGGCAACAATTGTGCCGAACTCCGAGATCAATTCCGGTTGTGTTGTTTTGTGTTGTACTATTCTTGTTCTTGTGAAATCTGTTGATATTAGGTGTTAAATTCATAACAAGATTGATAATTGTTTCTGGGTTATGTTCCTAGCGTTTTCTAAGTTTAATGCGTAAGGATGAATCTCGGTGGTCGAGATATGGTGTTAGGTCTGAAATCATCACAATATTGACGTCCAAAGATAAGATTTGGGCTGGATAAAACTGAGGAAATTTATATGTTGAATTAGGTGCATAAATTAGATGGTCACATAAGTGGCTGTCACGTAAATTCTGATCTTGATGATCATAGAGTCATAAAATAGACGTTATAAACTTCAATTAGAGACAAGAATTGCCTTAAACGGATAAATGTAGTCCAAGTTTTGCATTTTTTAAGTTAGACAAATCACTAAGAAATTCTGCAGAAAATCAGCCACGTTTTGATCTGGTTTAATGTTTTTTTGGAATCCTTAACGGACTTGAAAACAAGATTATAAATACTTCTTTGGAAAGCTCTAGATGTCTACTTTGATTATCCACTAATTTTGTAATTTTTGAGGCTATGAAGAATATTTTATGATTATTTCCGTGAGAGTCATCAAAACTGTGTTTTTCTAAGAATTAACGCATCAAGAATTGAGACCCCCAATTTAGATATCTGATTTCTGCACCTAAACTATTGTTACTATCTATTAGAGTATGTTATTAGTGACGCGTGACAATTAGACTCATATTATTTGGAATTTTGTATCCTGAGTTGTGCGCGTTTGAATTTTCACATAGAAATTCTTAAAAACTGTCAAATTTAGAGGAACCAAAATTTTTATTCCTTTAAGAACTATTTTGAGGTACTTAGAAAGCTCACATTAAAGCATATAATAGCTCATTGGAAAGATCTATGAGCCTAGTTTTAAGTAAAGCTAAATCTATAATTTTTGGAGTCCTTGGGAATATCTTATGAATTTTTCCGTCGAGGTCGACGAATCAGTCCAATTAACTGTTTTCTCAAAGAGTGCAGTCCCAAAGTAAAGATTGTCATGTGGTTGAAGATTGATGGTTTAGACCCATAAGAATGGGATATAAGGAAATGGTATTGGTAGTTATCGTACAAGTTACCCTCACAAAGACTTAGCAAATTCTTGGTAAGGTGACATATTACAACCTTATTGATGCATTTAAAGATACCACGCGGGTTAGTGAACCATGTGCACTAGATCCGAAATGTTGATTGTGTTAAAAGCACAAAAATTCGTCTTCTTTCCCCGTGCATAATTTTTCAAATGTTTACTCATCAGTTGAAACTTAGGTCCCGTTCATTTCACCGATTTGAGTTTAGAATTCGAGTTTTATTACAGTAAAAAACTCTCAGAAACAATCACATCTAACTTTTTTGCTACAGTAAAAAGCTCTCACATAAAGTCACATCTCAACTCGAATTAAAAACTCGAATCAGCGAACTAAACGGACCCCTAATTTTTCACCAACACAGAAAAGTCAAAAAGAATTTTTCTTTTGGAAATGCGTGCGAATATATGTGAAAAGTCACCTTGAAGTGTGGATCATAATGCCATGTCTTTTAAGGAGAGAGTTGTGAAAAGTATATAGTCTCGAATTGAAAAGGAATTCGAGCATGAAAATACATATGAATTGTCAAATGCTATGAGCAAGTGCTTTTGGCATTTACCTAGGACGACACCGAAATGGATTTTTTGGTGTGGCGGTAGGAAAGTTCTAGACCGTCAATCATGATGTCTTCAATTTGCTAGGATTTTATAAACCATACTACGACGTTACCGTATATATAATAGGAAATTATAGCCTAGATAAGTAACGATAGGTGTCACCTTGAGAATGAAACTCTCGAGAAAGTAAAAAGAAACTGTCGAACATCAAGAACCATGGTTAAATTAGGTTTGGAACCCAATAACCTACTGTGGATTACCGAAGGCAAAGGATTACAACAGGAGTAGAGAAGTGCTACTAGAGGAAGACGTCCAGGTTTTCAATAAACACTACGAACATGTTGAGGAAAGGAAAACAAGATATTACCGACGTAGACAAATTTCAAGTGCTGATGGGCAAATGTCACATCCGACTAAGCTATTTTACATAGAAGGCACCCGCCCTAATCATGACAAGGAAGAATGGCACATTGGGGACCGCATCGAATGGCGAAGACACAACAAGATCATCGTCAAGGAAAAGTGTCTACGGTCTAGGATCGGCAATTTGTTTGGCTTACGACATGAAGGCGCAATCTTTTGTTAGACCGACCTACGAGCAATCAATTGAGATAACAAAGTTCCGCGCGCCCAAGACAACGAACAGAATCTCTACTACGGACGCTAAAAGTGACACTATTTGGATTTAACCAACATTTTCATAATGATCAAGGTCGGAGAAATACGGTATTTAAAGAGGATTTGGACAAGTTCACCATTGCCGATGATATGTTCGGACCAAGTAGAGGATTCACAAGGAATATGGGGAGCATCTCCGGATGGTTCACCGACTCAAAAGGAGGGACATTGGTGAGTCAAGCACTCAAAGTATGAGGATGGCAGGTTCACTTTTTGGACATGTGGACTTAAGTATGGAATATCAATAGATCTCCTCCAAATAGGAGCAGTGGCTAAGTGATGAGTACCATAGGACACAGCTAGAACGTATAATTCATACTAGCTGGTTACCATCAACGGTTCGAGTGGGAAAAATGTAAGACTCACCCTTGCGTTGACTGCATCGACTTTAAAACATAAGGAATGGGAAAGAATTGCCAAGGACAAGAAGAAGAACTCCCAGGAACTAAAAGAGGAAGCACAGTGGTGCATCAATGTTCATAAATTCAGGAAATTATGAGGAAGCACTCAACATGCTACGTAGCGACGTCACTGGCACGAAGCCGAGGCTTGAA